TAAATTTTAAACTGCTACTTAAGGGGGGTCCATTTCTTCCTCTAACTCAAATAAACCTTCAGCTGCTACTCCCCTCCCAGCCCCCATTTGCTGCTTTTTTTTTTTTTTTTTTTTTTTTTTTTGGTTTTTCGAGACTGGGTTTCTCTGCGTAGCTTTGGAGCCTATCCTGGCACTTGCTCTGTAGACCAGGCTGGTCTTGAATTTACAGAGATCCTCATGCCTCTGCCTCCTGAGTGCTGGGACCCATTTGCTTCTTGACCTTCTGCTTCCACTTGTCCTCAGCAGCTCATATTTCATCTACAACTTCAGGTATTGCTTAAGTAGAGAAACTCTCCATAGGAGCCTCCTCTCATCAATTTCAACCCAGGTCAGGTTCATGCCCAGAGTTGCCCTGTCTCTTTCTTTTGTGTGTTTCTTGTACAAAAAAAAAAAAAAAAAAAAAAATCTTGCTTGGTGGTGGCACATGCTTTAATCCTAGAACTCGGGAAGCAGAGGCAGTAGAATCTCTGTACCTGCCCCCAAAATGTGTATGTAACCTTAGCACTGATCAGATATTGTGTGAAGTATATCCATCCCCAGCAGCAGCAATGACGATAATGGCTATCCGTAGACTGGACTTCTAGTATCCTCCTGCCTCTGCCTCCCCAGTGCTGGGATCAAAGGTGTGTGCTGCTCCTGCTGCTGCCACCACCACCTGGTGACACTTTATATGTTTTTGACAGACACTAATTTATTTAGTCCTTGTGATAATGCTGCACAATGAGAAGTATTATCATAACTCTCCACCCTCACTATGCAGGTGTAGAAACCAGCCAAGAGAGGCCAAGGAATTTGTCCAAGGTCATCCAGGCAGTGACTTCACTTCCTGCGACCTTCTTACTCACAACTCCTCATGCTTCTGTCACCTGCCAGGCCTTCCACAGGACAACTTCTGTACAGTACTTTGGCCTACTCTTCTCAACACTGAGAAATGGGGTTCTCCCTTTTAAAAGCAAAATGTAAAGGTGTATAACTATGGACCACAATCCACGCTAAATCTTGAACATAATTGATTTCTTCTACTGTGCTGACTGCATTATTCTATGGGGAAGGGTATTTAAGTTACTCTGCAATTCTTTGGCGATGACCTCTTGCATAAGTATCATGGGATGGAGGTCACCAGGCTTTTCTATGTAGACATCCACTTAAAGCCTTAGTTCCAAGTCAATTCTCACTAGGTGATAAAGTGTTATCTGAGCATGTTCTAAAGAATGACTTTCTGAAGCCTAGTGAGATAAGTCATTCATACTCTAACACAGATCTCTTAAACAGAGCTGGTTATTCCTGTAGGGGAACTATATTCAGATCAAACTAATTTCTTAAATGACATAAAAGGAGCGAGACACTTGGAGGAGTCTTATGTAACTGACTGAGTGCTGATGGCTTGGGACTAGATGGTAGCTGACAGGGAAAGGAAAGCTGAGTCCTAGAAATGGCAGAAATTGTAATTTTAAAAATTGCAGTAACTATCACCTGCCAGGTATTAAAATGATTAAAGGGCTTCTTTTTCTACACCCCTATTGTGATAGGTTTCATAAGCAAATAATTTTAAGAACACTAACCTGTTAAGCACTAGTAATTAGTTGAGGAAAAACAAATACAAATGTTCTTGAAGACGAAGCAAACCCTGAGGGAATTCAGTCCTCTGAAATTATACTGAGTGTTACTGAGGTAATTCTTGATGACTGCTACCCCAGTTGAAAACCCCCTTCATAGTTTCTTCTGTTTCCCGTCATCTAATAACGTCTGGAAAAACAAAACCAAAAACCAATCAAACAAACAAACACCCCAAGGGATTTGGCTCAATAGGTAAGAGTGCTGAGCAAAAAAAAACAAAAAAAACAAAAAAAAAACCGAGAATCTGAGTTTGAATCCCAACACCCATGTTAATAGCTGGGTTCACTTCACATGTAGCCCTAGTGCTATGGAAGGCAGGCACAGCAGTCAGCACCTGCTGGCCACCAGCCTAGCTGCAGGTGCGGTGAGAGACCCTGCCTCAAAGGAACAGGTGCAGGGAGAGACCCTGCCTCAAAGG